TAAGGCCGACTCGGGTACGGGCCGGGCATGGGTATATCTTTAGGCCCGGCCCGGCCCGGCCCGAAAATTTAGTATTAATTTTACTAATTTACCCTTATAATATATATTAATTACAATATTATCCTATATATATATATCCATTTTTCCCAAACCTAACCTCAATTTTCATCCCATATTAAAGGTTTAACATGTTAAAATTGCCTTTAAATGAGTTAGATGGGTTTGGTTCAACTTATTAAAGTGGATTTCACCATAACATATTATGCACAGATGAAAAGTTAGTATAATCAACTATTATGGAGTTTTAATTGCTCACTTATTGCTTAAATTATTTGTGGAAATAGCTTCAATTAATATTTAAAAACCATTTCTAAAATTAAAAATATAAAAAAATTTGAAATTTATTAATATTTAAAAATAAACATTATTAAAAAAGGCAGGCTTGGGCCGGGCCTGCGGTTATAAAAAACCCGTCGGGCCAGGCTTGGGCTTTGCCTATCATACCTGTAGCGGGCTCGGGCCGGGCTTGGGCCTGTGTCATGAGGTCGGGCTTGGGCCTGGGCCAAGGGGTACCCGGTCCCGACCCGGCCCATTGCCATCACTAAAAATCGCAGCCTATCAACAGTATGGTTACCATGCAATCAAATCCTTTCATCATCTGTTATCTCATCGAGACTGACGTACAGAAATAGTGTCAACCTCAGATATCCTCGACATGTTTGTATTCAGTTACTAGACCAATAACAGAAATATTAAATTGGATTGAGCAACAACTCAATCCCATTGTGGCCACAGATTTAGTGTCATTGCCATTTATTGAATTACCCAGTGAGATAACTTCTCCCGTACCCAGAAGTGATGAATCCTTTGTTGATCCACCATAATCTTGATACACTCCTTGATGCATCCAATCACTACCATATTGATAGCTCTGAATAGAACTACGTTAGGCTAGTGTCAAACTACACCAATCGGTGCATAAGGCGCTTCAGTGATCTCAAGTCTAAGGATTACATGCACCACCATTCGTTAGAGGATTTATTCCATAGACACTAGGGTTACCATCCATATGGAATCCTCTAGTGGGTCTGTCCAGTGAACTTGCCTACAGCAAGCACCTATGTGTCACGCCAGGTTGTCAACAAACAACCTTGACAAGTGAGATCAGTCACTGCCTTTCAATAGGGTCGTTCAACACTATGATAGCCCTACCGTATTATATGTGTCCTTCGTCAGAATAATACTGGGGCTACAAATATTTCTAGAATGACCACCATATGTGATCATAGGGTTCTCACTATCAAGATTTGAAACACTTGATACCTTGTCACGGTTCTACCATCCTAAAGACATATATCAATACATATAATATGATTTACGTGATATAGTGGATAATGTCTTTTATTGATTAATAAACATTATTACAAAAAGTCAATTCCACAATAATTGATGAACTCTATGGCACCTACTCCAACAACTCAAACACTGACAGTGACTAAAACGTTATTAATAATATACACTAGACTAAAAGAGTTAGGCCAAACTTTAAGGACAAAACTGTTATTAACCTATTCTTGGTCAATGTAGGCCGCGGGAAAGCCTAGGATCTTGCCATCTGTGGGTCCAAGTGAAAGATGAATTGATGACGTGGCAAAATCTTGGTGGTTAGATGTTTGTGTTAGAAGAAAATCTTTAGTGAGATGAACATATAGTAAAAGACTAAAAGTTTTATTATTTTAATTTTTTTTTTTTTTTATAATCGGGATATTCAGATGGGTTTGTACACATTTCAACTAATTTTTCGAGACTCTAGAATCAGAGGCGGACTTAACCCCTTTAAGGGTTGGGCCTAACCTCAAATTATTAAAAAAAAAAAAAAACCAATTTTTATGTGGAAAAGTCTTCTCTAGAATCTCTCCTTATCTTTTAGGATTCTATTAGTCTTTATTAGTTTGACCTTTCTATCTCCCCCTTTCCTCTAATTTAATCCATATAATATACCACACAAATCACTATTAATTGTGATTTTTAATTCTATGACCTGACTTCACTGTCATTTCATCTATACTTACTTTTCTGTCTTTCACCCCTCCACCTAATTAATTACTTAATAGATGTCAATTTCATCTACTAATAAAATATTTCATGTCTAACTTACACCTCTTTTTAATAGAAACAAAAATTAATAATTATAAACTAATAATCTACTTAATAATTATCATTATCTTTCCATGATTTTAATAAATTTTGAATGATTATATTATACTTTTTTTTACAAATCTATTCTCTAATTAATGATAATGATGTGACATAAATAAAAAAACATATTATAATTCAACTTAAATCATTAGTTGAACTTTGACCATGACAATCTAATGGTAAGAGCAAGCATAATTATTTACTATTTAATTTTTTAAAGAACTTAATCATATAAAACATTACTTTAAATACCCATATAACTCTAACTCATTTTTCCATTGGGCCCTTGCTTCTTTCCTTCCAATTTCATGACAATTTTTTATAAGACATGAATAACATCAATTGGTAAGAGAAGAATTCGAATTGAAAACAAATTAGGTCAAGATTTAGGGTTTAGGTTAGGGTTTTTTTTGTTCTCTTCGTATTAAAGAAGTTTTTCCACGTAAAACTTTTCTTGCATTTCCTTGTGAATTTGATATTATTTTCAACACATTTCCTCAAGATTTTGCTTCTTATTGATTTATTTAAGTAGGAAAGTATTGTGTTTTTGCATTTTTTTTCTTTTTAGCTTCATGATATTATATTATTTCATTTGCTCAAGGTTTGGTAGATTTTAAAAGTTTTCATTAGTTGATTGACAAATAATGGAGGAGCCGCGGAGGCCCCCTAGGCAAAAATCCTTGATCCACCATTGTCTAGAACTACTGGTCGAGTAAGAGTTCTCATGACTACCCTCACTAGCACTCAAAGAGGGACTCGAACTCAAGTATTGTTTCAAAATTAGTTCTTATAAAAAGAGTGATAATCATAAATGCATAAAATTTTTTAAGGAAAGTTTGCAAAGGAAGGGTATAGGCAGATACAATGAAGGGGTGTTTGTCTGAGCTTATAAGCTCGAAAATCAAGCTGACTTGTTTGTTTATAACTTTTGGGGCTTATAAACAAAAATACTAATAATAATAAGAAGAAGAAGAAGAAGTTGGGGGATCCTACTTTTTTTTTTTTTTTTCTTATAAGCACTTTGTTTATAAGTTATTTTGACTAAGTATATTACCACATTACCCTTATTTAATTTTAAAATTTTATTATATAACCTTATTTATTATTTGATAAAATAATGTGATACCATTTTAATCATTTTAATAATAAAATGTATTTATAAGCCATATTTTACTAAACGCGTTAACTACTTATCAGTCATTTATAAGTATTTTAACCAAACATATAACTACTTAAATTTTAAATACTTGTAAGTTCAAATTCTCTTATAAGCACTAATTACTTATAAGCTAATTTTCATAAGCGCAGACCAAACAAACTCTGAATTAGTGTATTAAATAAAAGGTGTATAGAAGATCATGTGTTTTGGTAAGACTTGGTAATTTATCAGTTACATCGTTGGGTGATTATATCATTTATGTTAAGAAGATCCAATTCCCTCGTAAATATTATTATCAAATAGGAAAAGGTATTTACATAATAAACAGCGTTTTGTTCACTGATACCAATGAATGTGCATTTCCCATCATAAACTCTTACCACAAAAGATAATATATAAAGGGAAATTTTCTTAATGATAACCTATTTAGAAAAGGAAGATCTCCTAATTTGTTAAAGACTCCAATTAAAAAAAAAAAAAAAAAAAATCAATCTAGAAAGAAGAGACAATGAAAGAATATCATAAGATTACCAAAAAGGGATGATATATGAAAGGGGAATTTGGTAATAGTGACTTGTTTCTATCATAGAAGAACTTTCTTATTTGTTGAAAACTACACTTAAGAGAATGAAGGGATAATGAAATAATATTATAAAGGATTTTCATTTATATAACATTCTTCTCTCTAAACCTCAGTGGATTGCTTCTCTTGGAATAAAAATAAGAGTAAGGGTTGTTAGATACAGGAGAAGTCGATAAAATATATCTAGAAATTAAATAATAATTTACATCTTGGTTCTAAACTCTGCTCTGAAACTCAGCCCGGTCTAGCCAATTTAACCAGTCAGACTGAGACTTGGGGCTTTCTTTGAGTTGGGTTACCACTTTCAACTGTTTTCAAAATCTTTAACTTGATTGTCGGCAAACGAGGGGCTATCAAGTGTTAAGGTTAGAGGAATTTTGTAGAATAGAGGTCGGTGGTTCGAGGGGTGGTGTCTGATTGAATTTTGGACACTGGAATCAGCCGAAATTTGGTTGGAAAAATCAACCCAATTGTAGCGACATATGTGAGTCACGAGGAGCTACCAAGCGCCAATTAGAGGGGTTTTGTAGGGTGGAAGTTGGTGGTTCATGTGATTGTGTCGGATTGAATTTTGGCTGCCAGAATTTGGCCAAAAAAAGTGAAACTCTAATTGTCACAGGAGTGTGTTTGATAGATTTCAAACCTATAGGGGTTAATAGTACTTTTTCAAAGGTAAGGTATGTTTGCTAGATTTTAAACTTATTGAATCACCGGTAAGTCACCAGTTTAACCGGTCACCTGGGACCCAACCCCTTGGTTGGATGACACCTGGAGTCAATTTCAAAACACTGGTTCTAAGCTTTTTTTTTTCAAGTGTATATAAACAGTAATTGTGATGTAACCATTAAAAAAAGGTCGTTTCAATGTGTGTTATTGCTATAAAATAAAAGGCTTGCTTATTTTAACGTACTTTATGCACAAATAGACATCGACATCATGTCAAAGCAAAATTTGCTTCATATACAAAAATCATTTGGCAAAGAAATTATAAGCATGGGTTTGAAATTAATGGTTCTATGAACATTTGGATGGGATAATATATTAACACGTTGGTGTTGGACCCATGTTTTTATTCTTCTGCTTTTCTTCAACTATTAAGCACGGCCTCGAAAGTCAAAAACCCACCCAATCTTCAGCAATTACCTTAACTTCTAAGATTCAATAACATCAGAAACCATTTCTTGTACTACTCTTATATCAAATTTCAGCATCATCTCCATAAGGTTTTAGCAAGACCAGCTTTAGCTTTCTTGTGGGAAAAGGCAAAATAATGGCTGCTCACCCAACAGATGGATACATTTGTCAACGCAGTGGTTGCAATTTGTATCAATTTTGTTTGCGAAAGCCATGCTGTGTTCCACTGATATTGCTTTGTTTCTTATATTTTCATATATACCAAGTCTTAATTCAATTTGTTCTTTCATAAAAATATGTTTATTCTTCAGCCAAGGTCATTAATTATCAATCGATTTGAATTGAATTCCCAATTCAAAAGATAGCACAACTGCAGACACTAAGCTGTGATCACAAAAGAGAAAGCAAAGATAATATACAGGAGTCAGTCTTCTTTCGCAATAAGTGGCAATCATAGTTTAGTACTGCTGTTTGTCCTTGAGAAATTGAAGTGATATGATACTTACTCCAATTAGGGTTCATAAATGGCAGTTTTGAAAGGCCATATCAACCCGGGTTGAAGCTGTAATTGGCTATGAACAAAACAAAACCTTAAAACAAGAAAAGAAGACATTACAAATTCATACACATTAACTCTCAAAGAATACTGTGCATTCCTTCTCCCCCAAACTAAATCTATTTCTTTTCACATGACACACCCATTCTTCAATCCACAGATGTTCATTTCAGTCATCTCAAGCACAGAAGATATAGGTAACCTTCTAATTAATAGAGTCAATAGTATTTAACTACAGAAACACACGAGTGAAATAGACTTCTACAAGTTGGAAGATTAGGAATTGACTTTTAATAATAATTGATTCTTTTTTCAAAGGTTCAAAGATGACCAATTCTACATTTTGTTTTTCTTCAAAAACTAGCTACCATAATAACAAATTGTCCAGGCATCAACCACCATTGACCAAATGGGTGTACAAGGAGCAAAAATACTTCACAAGGACAAGTGAAAACCTCCCAACTATTACAACCTACTTGACAAGTAAATGTTGTGAGATAGGCAGCCTTACCTGACCATTTGACATATAATTCCACGCAAATATAATTAAAACATCAGTCAATTACACTCCATTATTCTGATTAACAGCTCATAGTCCTATAGTAAATACAGGGTTAAATTAAGAAACAATCTTTCTGCTTCACAATCAAGTCTTCAAAGGGCAATCAGTTCAGGTACTATTTATGGCAAATGGTGTTTAATTCATGGCTGTATAAAAGAACTAATAAAGAGATAAAGGTCCATATCTTATGATTTGAGTTGACACAAAAAGACCATTGAAAAAACTGAAGAAGTTATAGGAATAGATAAAATTACATTGCAACAAGTTGGTTACTTTTCTTTTCCTATTTGTAACAGACATGCTTAACCAGTTGGCAAATGGTGGCATAAAATAGAGGAGGAATATTACAAAAAATCTGAAATCATATGAAGAATAGCCGAATAGGGCAGGAAATTCTTAATGCATACTTCAATAATTCCCAAATACTGCTCTCCATATGTAGTTAAGTTTCTTGTCACTTGACAATAACTTGACCAAGGGAAAGATAGAAAAATTTGAACAACATCATAACAAAGACGAGTTGTTTGGACATGCTTTTGTCCCAAGATGAACGACTTTTAAATATATAACCAAAATGAGACCTAAGCCAGATAGGTAATTGACAAACAACTTCAAAGTAAGTTGGAAAGGTCACAATATTAGATGTTGCAAGAATGAAGTAGAAGATGCTAGATGTTGCAAGAATGGCCTTATATCTAAATGGACAAACAAAATTAGACACATTTGGATAGGAACGTCGCTTCATATCAAATTCAGCCACGAACCCTAGAGCCCCAACATGTATAAATTATCAAATTAATTCAACTTGCAGAGGGACAAACCAAGTTGGGAATATCCTTCTGTACCACAATTAATGATGCCAGTGTATTCACTTTACCATTCAACTTGGATAACCGAAACGACCATGGTGGGGAAAATTCGGATGAATCAACCCCACCATCTCTCTATTGTTCTCCCCCACTCCGTACCTATCTATATCTGCTAATGCAAAGAGCTTTTATCAATCATTACCGAAGAAATTTAAATTTCAACCATAATAGTATTGAGTTTTCAAACCATGTCTCATCAAAAATTGAACACATTAAGGCATAAGATGACATAAAATTAATTTGGTAAGCTTACCATAACAGAAGAGAGCCATGAATTTCAGTAGCACCAACTCCATTTTTCATGACTATAGCTGCTATTCCTACATCATAAAAAGCTACATTCTTCCACAAGGAAAAGTTGATTAGAGAGTGGAAACCAAGACAACCAACGAGTACTCAAAACATGGCAAAACCTAACTAAAGTCATCACTTGATCAGGATTCACAAAGATAAAGAAACCTAGCTAACCTTCCTTGCTATGCTTATACATTGAACTATCAGTACATTTTGCACAAAACCAGTCAGCAAAAAAGCCCCTTCTATCATTCTCTCCTCCATCACCCTCTCAGCCTCTTTCTGATTAGTTAAACGGAGGCGGGCGAGGAGGCGGAGCCCAAAATACATCATGAGGCATTTGTCCATTAGGCAGCAAATTAGGGGGCAGATTATACATAGGCATAGGCATTGTTGTTGAACCACCTTGCTCACCGCCCAAAATCTGGGACTGACCACCACCACTACCTCCTCCTCCACCTCCACCTCCTCCACCACCACCACCACCACCACCACCACCACTATTACTTCCATTCCCTTGCTGTTGCAAGCCCTGAGACTGTCCAATTGACCCTCCACCACCAGCCTGTTCCCCTTCATCTTCAACAGGTAACCTCTCATATGTAGCATTAGTAAACGTAGCTGCTATCACCATCACTGGCCCTGACGCCATTAAAGCCCCCATCACAGTTCCCCCTACCACCTGACCTTGTCCACCCGCTAAATACACGGTTAAGCCCGTAGCTCCCGGTGGCGATGGCGCCGGCAAAAACGCACCAGATAATGATAAAATCTCGAACCTTCCATGGAGAGTGATAACCCCACCGGGTGCTGCTGGTTGTCTGAGTGTGACATTGGTCACAATGCCACTTCCACTTAAGATGGAGACGCCACGGTGGCGGCGCTGAGCGAAATTCGCGATGCTCTCAACGATGTCAGTGCCGCTTGTGATTTCAAGAACGTGGCTACGGAGAGAGTTAGGGCTTTCTTTGGTAATAACAATGGGAGGTTTTGGTTTATTCCTTGAACCAGGTGGTCTTCCTCTGGGTCGACGAGAGGAGGAGCCGGAACCCGGTTCGATGGTTTCAAGGCCCAAGTTTTGGTCTTCAGATTCGTTGTTGTCACGGCTGTCTTCTTGGTCATCTTGGTGTTGTTGCTGGTTGTGGGTGGTGGCGTTAGGGCTATTGGTGTTGGCGTTGTTTGCATTAGTGTTACTGGTGTTTGTGGCGCTATTTGGGTTGTTGTCTATGAATTCTTGCTCTCTTCTTGGACCGAGACGACTTAGACCGCTATGTTCTTCTTCTGGATTTCTCAAGTGAAGACTCGGAGGTGGAGTTATTGGATCAACACCCCTCATTGCTATATTTCCAGCCCACCAGCGATTAGCCATGATTGGTTCTCGAGAATCAATATAAGAAGAGAAGAAAAATTAGTCCTCTATGATCGCCTTTGTTCTTGTTTAGCTTTACTTCCTTGCTGCTTTGTTGAACAATGGGATGATGATGAAAAGCACCAAACAATGAGAAGTCGGATAAAAACTCTCGGATTCTTTTTCCTCTTTGATCTTTGTTTGTTTCCAGCTGTAGATTGAGAGATCTCTGAAATAAAAAACGCAAATCCAATAGATATAATCCAAAACCTTATCCCTTTTTTCCTTTTCTCACCCAAAAATCAGCCAAACCCATCTAGCCATGTTGCATGAATCAGACATTAGAGATATGGGTTCCCCTTGTTTTGCATGAAAACCCTAACCATTAGCCTCCAAATTCCAAAAATCAGATCCCACAAACCCCTCACTTCACATAAACCCCTTTCCCTAGACCCCCCAAAAAAATCAAAGATATAATAACTCATTCACTCTTTAACAAGCTTAAAACCCCCACACCCCTGAAACATAGAGAGTTACGTGTCTATACAATACGAGTGTAGTAAAAAAAAAAGTTGAATAATTTGGTGGTCAGGAGAAGAGAAAGTCTGTACCTCTTTAGACAAAGAATCCGCTCAAGTACGATTACTCTTCTGCGGGACCTCCAGTTCTCTCTGTTACTTTCTGTGTTTCATACTGTTTTAGGGCGTCCGTTAAAACACAACTTAATATTAACACACTTTCCCCTTGGCTGGCGTACGATAAGGATTCGTGTATCACTCTAAATAGGTAAGCGGTTTTGCAGAGAATGGTTTTTCTTTGTCCCCCATGTATCCAGTTTTGTGCTATACAGGTTTCAACTCAATCCACAAACCCAAGTTCAATGAGCCCTAGTCCAACTCCTCTACAACAAGAAACAAAATAAACACCCCCTACTGATCTTTATCCAATAGAAGAAAAGACAGAGCCACCCTTGCCCCTACCACGTGGGGAAGTATAATTGGGGGAGAAGGAGGTTCTCGAAATTGGGAAAGTGTAGAAGAAAAGAAGAAAAAGATAGAGGAGGAGGAGGAATAGCTCGAAGCATTTGGTAAGAAGTGGACTAAATTTCTGAATCTTGAATGGTGTGGGGTAACGTGCGCATGAGAGAGAGAGAGAGAAGGAGATGGGTAGTGGGAACACGTCACTGTCTTCAAGTCCCGACAAGGTATCGAATGCCAAGGTCTGCAACATGTCACC